CTTGGAGTGCACACACACACACATACACACACTCTCTCTCTCTCTCTCTCTCTGTCTCTCCCTCCTTCCCTCTCTCCTTCCCACCCTCCTTTTCTCATTTTTTTCTCTCACTCCTTCCTTCTGTCATTGCAGGACGAGTCAAAGTATCCTAACGTGTGTGCCCGTAATAAACCGCTTGATAACTTATGCATTCCGAACGAGCGATACTATCTATCTAGCGCTGCCGTAAATAAGAAAGATATACAAACTGGATGCGGCGCATATAAATTCGCGAGCGCATCGTATAAGTGCGGCGGCGGTCCTCCGCGACGTGGTGCTCGCGAAAGGCACTCGCTAAATTGCGCGTCGGAAACTTTCCTCGCGCGATCTGGATTCGTTAATTCATCCGCGGCAGGCAGTCTAACCGAAGGAGACGTTCTCTACCGCTCACACTTGCGCGGCTCATACGTGCAACGCAACACGACAAATAAATTACCGCGCGCGATCGCACGTGTGTGCGATACCTCGCCGTGTATCGGTGTCTCAAAACGCACCTGCCTTGAATCCAACGCGTTTGAGCGATGGGCCGTAATAAATTGTTTCTGGAAACTATATCCGCGGCGAAGCCGTCTCGGGAAAAACGAGGGAAGATAATAGATTCAAATAAGCACTAATCCGCGACGTTTATGCAAGCGTCGTAAAGAACGCGGATTAATCTTCGAAACAGTCCGCCGGGGGTTTAAACTTACGCCGTGTTGATTCGCGTGCCGTGCATTCATTACTCTTCATTGTGAAATCTCGCTACTTTTTGCGCTACATACGTTTGGCAATCGTAATAGTACTAACGAGTTCTCTTCTGAATCTCGAGATCAGTCGATTAGGCGCGATCACGAATGCCGCCGCATTGACCATGGGCGCTTAACGAGCGGAAGGACTTGTGCCGCGATTCTCAGAAATCTCTTTTTTTTTTTCATTTCAAAACGATCGTAACAACGCTCGATCGGATCAGTCATAGAAAATCGTAGCGTAAGTTTCTTTCTGCCTGCAATCGGGTTTCGTAAGATCGAAGCTATCGCTATTCTCTCCTTCTCTTTCTCGGCTCAGGAAAACTCTGTTACCGATGTTTATCAGCAAACACTTATAGCTCGCCAAATGGGAAAGCGGAGAAGGCTTCGCGTGGTTAATCGGGAAGTAAGTTAAACTCTCGTTCCCTCGACAACCTTTCTCGCCCTTTTCCAGATCGGTGGCTGGCCCGGGTTACGCGGACGGGCCCACGAAACACTGTCCAGGAGGCCCGGAACGCTTGAGGCCAGTGCTAGATAATTTTTTCGGGATTGTTAAAAGTCACTTCAGAGACGCCCCCACCGAGAAACAGACCGAGGACAGGCTGCATCTGAGGCCTGGGAAGCATTTTCGGCGCCCTTCTCTTCTCCCCCTGCCTCTCCGCGCTACTCGACTCGAGGAAAGTATAGAAAAGAGATCGCCCTCCTCACCCGCCGGAAAATTAAAGGGCGCATCCTATCGCGTGGTCCGTCACCGCACAAACCAAAGATGAGAGAGAGAGAGAGAGAGAGAGAGAGAGAGAGGGGGGGGGAGGGAGAGGAAGAGAGAGGGAAAGAGGAAGGGAGAGAAGGAGACGCACGATGTACACGTAATACGTAAGATACACGAATGCGCATACGCGAGTATCGCGTAAGCTGTACACGCTTCCTTTGAAACTTCGAACTTCCTATCGCGACCGCCGTGTCTCTTTGTAGACGGATGAACGTCTCGTATCCAGGATAATGCGAGGTTCTTCGCCACGTTTGCGTCTCTTTCCATTCTCCTCTCCCCTTCCCCTTCTCTCTCTCTCTCTCTCTCTCTCTCTCCCCCCTACCTGAGTTCCGCATCTTATCCCGCTCGCCTGGTCGCAGGATCGAGATCCTCCAGCGAGTAATCCCGACGTGGAAAGATCGGCGTCGCGGATATCGATCCCACAAGTAGAATGAGGGGGTTTTAGTCGCGGAATAATTAATGTGAGAGAGCAGGTACTTCTGTGTGCTCCTCTCCGCTTTCTCTATGATTCGACGCCGTGTGTTTACGGCGAGTTCGAGACGGCGACGAGCCGTGCATCGCACCACGATCGGTCCGTAAATCTGGCCGCTACCCGTGCATTTAGCACCATTTCGCGACCGCTCGGTGCTCCGGGGGCGTAGTTTTTTTTTTTCTTCATTCCGTGATGCACGGTGTTTCGCGATAAAGCGCTAGCGCGCGAAGCGATTTCGAATACCGCGGAAAATATCTAAATTTATTATTACGTCATATCGTATATTTATATCTGGATTCGTCTTAGCTCTTGTTCGGTTTCTCTATCTCGTGTCACGATCAGGAGGAAGCATGAAATATTTTTACAGAAGATCAACGTCTACTGTTCCGTGCTGTGACAGTGTTTATAATTGAGTTTTCAAATCAATGATATCGAAATAAAATTTCACGCGGAACGTCTGCCTTTCGTGCCACGATAAAATATAATTGGACTCCGCGACTTCCAAAAAGTCCTCCGCAGTTAGTAAAAGTAACTCGCGGCAATTTGTCACGCGCGCCGGAATTCAGCTACAGAAACTCATCGTGGGTGTAACGAGTGCGGCAACGATCAGCAACGAAAACCTGGCGTCGTTCCAAGCAACATTAATACGTTTGGATATTACTGCGGTAACTTAAACGCCTGGTCAGCATTAATCGCGCCGAGACCGTGAAGGCCTGCGGCGTTATCGTATTTTCAAACCATTTTTTTCGTTTGCATTCGCGAACACGTACGGAGTAATCGATAAGAAGACGGGGACGGATGCAGGAATAATGTATTTTGACAAATTCGCGAGCAGTCTAAAGCGCCACACTATGTGCGATTCGTATATTCGTGAGCTGAGGGCATTGTGGTGTACAGATTTGCGGCATCACTGGGCATTACCGGGCATTACTAGGCATTCCTTGGGCAGTAGTTTGGGCATTAGGCCTTGCTGGGGCGTTTTAGAGATAAAATAAGATAAAATAAGATAATAAGATAAAGTAATGCCCACTGGGCATTAGTGGGCATTGGTGTACACGATTTTGGTCAGTGGTTTTTCCCTCGTCGTGGAAAATTCGTCGATTTGCTGCGCGCGATTCGCCATTCGCAATGATTCGCTGGCGGTTTTCTGACGAAACTAGTGGTTTTTTGACTAATATTGAAATCTAACTAATTGTAGACTTGCGATACAAGTCCTGCGATAACAGGTAAAGGTTACTTTCTTTGTACAATTAGTTTTAATTTTTAATTTTTCTCATTTGTAATTTATGTTTATTCTATTGTGGCTTATTTTACACATTAACTTTGTACAATTATTTTTTAATTTAAATTTTATTTGTAATTTTAATTGTATCTATGATAACTAAGTAACACCGATTATTGGTTTGTTCCCTTTCAGAATTTATGCTCGATAAGGACTCAAACACGTGGTCGAAACGTTGCACATTATATATATATTTTTATTTGAATTTATTAAGGTCGACTAAACTGATCCATTGTTATTTCATTGAAAGATATTACTTCAAATAATAGTGTTTTTTCTATCATATAAGACAGGTTGTTTGAATAAAACAAGAAAATTTTTATTCAAAACACATAATGTTTCGTATAAGCATATGTTGTTTTAATGAAACAAATTTCAATCAAATAAATAGGAATACTAAATCCAAAGAAACCTTTCTCTCTGTGTACGGACGATAAACTGCAAATCACGAATAGTGAGTATAAATAATAATGAATGTCCACGCATTCGAATACGGATTGCGTATAGTGCGGCGCTGGCTTTACATTCAAATTGCAATTTAAGGATTTCTTTAACACATTGAAGATAGTTGCAAGAGTAAAATTATCAAATGTCACTGTCGTATCCGGAGGGAATTAAGGGCCAATTTGCAAACGTCGGTTAACTGCTGAGCGAAGATTAATTGATTCTCTGTCTCTTCTTAAATAAGATAGAGGCGGATAGAGAGCTGAACTCTGGTGCGTAGTTAACCGACGTTTGCTAAACTGGCCCTAAAATCCGAGAAAAGTCCCGGGATTTAACGCAGTATTTCCCCGAGTCCATCCTGCGCAACGTGGGTTTCCTCGCGCCGGATACGGAACCGTTGGCTCCTCGCGACCGTTGAAACGCGCCGGAAAAATCGCATCCGGCGCGTTCGCGCCGCGACGCGGAGGAAGGGTTGCGTTTTGGAAAAAGCGCGCCTTTCCCCCACTACGTCGCGTCAGAGATAGAGAAGACGCGATCTCCCTCCTCGCGGTTATCTCCCGCGCGACGAGGACGTCGAGCGTCGACGCCGATATCGGTGAGAAGACGAGAGAGGACGGCGAGCGAGGAAGAGAGAGAGAGAGAGAGGAGCCGATCTGGATGGCCGAACGATAAACGAGGAGAAACGAGCGCGGCGCGGGCGTGTGTTCGTGGACCCGTAGGTGTACGCGGCTACAGGAACCGCTCGCGAGTGGAAGGGAGAGAGAGCGAAAGCGAGGGAGAGGAAGCCGAGGGGGGAGGTGTAGAAAGGGAGCGCGACGCAGGGTGGGGGAGAGAGCGAGAGGCCGGGGAGAAAGAGAGAGGAAGCGTTACCCCCACCACGGGGGGTGAAAACTACCCCGAGAGCGCGTGGGGTGTCCGGCCTCGGCGCCGAGGCGAACCGAGCGCGTCCGAAGCGAGCGCAGTGCCCGACACACACCAGGTCTCGTACGGCATACGACTAGAGGCGCGCACAGTCCGGCACAGTCCACTCGGCGATACGACCCATGCTGGACCGTCGTCGCTCTGGTCCACGCCGGCATCAGGCATCCAGCACCCGCGCCGTCGCCGCCAGGCCGCCGCACCGCCAGACAGCCGCACCAGCCCGCCGAGGTCGTACGTCGTCAACGGGGACGCGGTGTCGTCGCACGTCGCCGTCGACGTCGCGTCACCGTGATCGCGCGTGGTCCAGGGACCGCGGGTGCGCCGCGCCGACGATCGCCGGCAATCGGACATAGATAAAAAAGGAGTAGAGAGCGAAACGGAGCTACGGAGGAGGGCACGAGGGACGTCCAAGGACTCGAGGATACCGCAGGACGTGAGGACCGTCTGGGACCGTCTCCTCGGTTCATCGAACTCGAGCGAAACACCGCGCCGTGACTCCGCGGGAACTCGCGGCGCGACGCTTTTGGACTTGTTTATATTTTCTTCTTTTTTCTCTCTCTCTCTTTCTCTCTTACTCTCCACCGACCTCGCTACCGGCGAGTCTCGAAGGTGACAGCAGTGAACGAACGGTCAGCGAGGAGCAGCTACTCCGGGGACGGATATCGCCAACTCGCCGCGCGGGGAAGCGACTGTGACCGGTGGACTCTCTCTCTGTTGAGCACCAGCCGCGCTCGGTGCGATCAAAGTTCCTGCGGTCGTGTCGCGCGTGTCTGCGCGACGTCGGCTCCCCGCAGGTGCCGCGGGGAAATCGGCCGGCGGCGAGTCGTCGCGCACAACTACTGTCAATCGCGAAGGTGCCACCATTCCCGCCGGACGGGCACGTAAACGCTATCCCGCACCTGTGCGCGCCGATCGTTCCGGTCAGGTAGTCGCTCCGGTCAGCCTATCGGTATTGACACTATCGTACGCGAGGCTCGCGGTGTCATACATGTCGCGTGTACTTGTCGCGGTGGTGAACGCAGTGCAGTCGCGGAAGAATGCGGCCGCTGAGGACCATGAGGACCGATATTAGTTGACGAACAAGTGCTCCAGGTGCGCGTGACTTATCGGATAATCGTATCCGGAAGGGAGAGAGAGAGCGCAGAGCGCGAATCGCGGGGAAGGAACTGGACGCGGCGTGTCCCTGAGAAAAGTGAGGGACGTGTGAGGACAGTGTTTCGATATCCCGGGCAAAATCGGATGGACCCTCTCGCGGAGGGCGAAAACGCGCGGCGGAGGTGAGAGGGAGGAGGGCGGAAGCGTGACGACGGCCGAGATCGGGATCGGGTGCTTTGTCCTGCTGTTCTGTCACCGACGTGCGCCCGTCGCGTCCTCCTTCCTCATCTCGTCCCCGCGGATGTGAGCCAGGAGACCGGAAAGGTGAAACGACACTGCGGCCCTTGCCCTCCCGACAACGGCAACTGCAACCCCTTTCCGTCCCGGGCGACCGGAGCCGAGGCTCGTTCTTCAAGAGACAGTGTTTCGTGACGAGAGTCGGAGATCGTGAAAACGCCACCATGAGGATCAAAATGCCCGCGGTCAGGATCGCGCAAGGTGAGTGAGGGACAACGAGAAAAAAAAGAGAGTCACGTTACCGACACGAGCCCTTTCTCCCGTGCACACGTGCCGATGTCATTTCTTTCTTTCGCGAAAACGCTAAAGAGCGACGACACGTCCGGAGACATTGGCCACCTCGCGGCCACCGCTTTGGAGCCGTAATTGAGAACACGGGAGCGAGACGCTCGTGGGGCGGCCGATGGTGCGAAAACACGCGATTAGACACACGCCAAATGCGTGATATTCGTCACGTTTGCGAAGGCGGTGCGCTCGAAATTGTGTGTCGTGTTTACGAGCGTGTTTATTGTGCCACGCGGTTGAATGGAGCAGCGAAACAACCGAGTTATTACAACCGCGAGGCCCTTTGCTTCTCACGATGTTTCTTACTTTTACACATTCGCCGCGTCATTAGATGATTAAATATGGCGCGATTAGATTAGATTTGATAATGTATTCCCGTTACGTCGTCTCGATTGGTCCGAAACGAGATAACTGAATGCTTTCGACAATTAGGATAATTGTATTTTCGATAAATGTCTATAAGAAGAACAGATAGCTAGATTGGTTCCGTCGAACTTAAATATATACGCTTACTTCTCCATAGAATCCGAAACCCGAAAACAAGGAAGAAACTAGGAATTAGAGGGGAAAAAATGGAAAAAGCGTTAGCTATATTTATCGGTAAAAAAAAAAACAATAGCCTCTGGACGAAAAAGTCAAGAATGTACCTTCGAATTCCAATCGCGCGAGAATCCAAAACACAAATATTTGCAATACCGCCATCTCGCATCAAAAAGATTCCTTTTCAGCAAAAGTTTCAACAAACACACGTGTACTTTTCATAAGTTGACGTTTTTCATTTTGTTAGTTTTACACTTGTCAATTTTTATGTTAATATTAGGAAAGAAAATAGTCAAACGTGACGTCCTTTGGGTTAAATAGTAAGGTGGCCTCGCACCTTTCTCGCGTAGAGACGTTTCGCACTTCTCCCGGAGACCTTTAACGCACCAATTTTTTCGTATCAACGTACGGAGACAATGGCGTTGATCAGAAGCATAATTACTTGCGGATCCAGTCGATTACGTCGACGTAACTCGATTTTAAGTTTTCTCCGAGAGCAGATCAAAAGCAATCTCTCTCCCGGTTGTTAACCGCCGCCGACAAATCCGTGCCATTTGTAACGAGAAACTCTCGGCGCTCATCGGCGGCCCGCAAATCCTTCCACGGTGATCCGTGATCGGATCGTCGTAAATCGTTTTAGAATCGAGTCACGCAAGTCCGGCACGCTCCACTTCGATCCTAATCATTTTATGATCCCGTCTCGGTTCATTGGCGTCGCGGCGTCACCGCCGCGCTCTACGTCGTCGTAAAAATAAGGCGACTCTCAAAAATCAGGCCCCCTCGCGATTAATTTCGTGGCAAGCGGCGTTTTCTGGGGAAAAGAATTCAATGCGGTAGTCATAATACAAGCCTCCCGCAATCGAGCCGGCATCCCAGCCGCGATCCGGTAATTAACTCCGTTTCCTTGGAAAAAGCATCCGCGTCCCGATGAAGAGGGCAACCTGTCGATGAGGTAAGCGCGCGGCTGTTCCTCGTGGCGTGGCGCTACAAAAAAAAGTGAAAAGGATCGGCGGTCGCGTGGCCGAGGATGGAGAGAAGGTAAAAAAGCTACGAAAAGCGCGAGAAAGTTAAGTGCGAGAGAGGGAAGAGAGAGAGGAGGGGGGGAAAGAAAAACAGAGAGAGAGAGAGAGAGAGAGAGAGAGAAGCACGGGGTGCAAGGAGAAAGAGAAAGTGTGTGTGTGAGTGAATGAACCAGGGGGAGAAGAAGAGGTCGAACGAGAGCGAAAGAGGGAAAAGAGGGATGGAAGGCCAACGTCTTCGGGTAACTCGTCGTCGGCTGAATTTTTAATTAGTCCGCGACAGCCCCCACCAGGCGAGGAGAGTGGAGGCGGCGAAGGTGGTGGAAAAGGAGTCTGAGAGAAGCAGGAGGTAGAGGTGGAGGAAGAGGAGAAGGAGGAGGAGGAGGAGGAGGAGGAGAAGGTGACGGCGCGGTGGAAGGCGCGGGGTGGGCTAGAAAGGGCGGCATTGTCATGCGCGCGTTTTTCACAGACTTTTCCACCCCCGCGACTGCTACCCCTCGTCGGCAACACCCGCCCCCGCGACGTCCGCGAGGCACCCCCTCGCCTCTACGGAACGGCGGCGACGCCGGCGACGGCGGCGGCGGCAGCGGCGGCGGCTCCGTTTTCTTAATTACAACTGCGATATTCTTTAGTTCGCGCGATGACGCCGCCGCGAAAAGATACCGGAATATTTCTCCGGCACCGATTATCCCCTCGCGCCCCGATCACTTCTACCGGCTGACCTTCGTCGCGGGGTAGCAGCGTAGCGATCGATAGATCAATGGGCCACGTCGATTCGCGAGTGACGACGAGCAGCGTAACGCCATGATTTCTAAGACGGCGAGGACCGATAATGGCGCGCGACGATCGATCGCGATTAGGATGTCGCGGTGGACCGGGCCGCGAGTCCGCGAGTTTGCCTATCTGCCACCCTGAAGCGAGGTTAATGAGGAACAGTGCCAGTGTGTCGACAGATCCCCCTGAGTCCGAGTCAATGGCCACTTTTATGTTTCGTGGCAAAATCGAGATCGATTTCTCTTTAATTTGAATCGACCTCTAGAACACGATGCCGCGAGACGACCGCTGTTCTTCGCGCGGTAACTAAGAAAGTCCTGTTTACTTCTCGGCCAACTACCTGACGGCTGACGACCAAGTGACGGCCTCGTGAACGTAGATACGATGATGATGATGATGGATGTGCTTCGTTTCACCTCGCCGTTCTAACCGCAGCTCACTTGATACCGGTGAATCGATGATGACGCGAATGGTATCGTCCACCGTTCGCGTTAAGGTGAGTTGTCCGTCGGCGTCAAATGAGCTCTCCTTTTTTCTTTCTTCTCCTACGACAATCGGATCGCGGACAGGTCGGTCGCGATGGCGGAGAATCGTGACAATTAAAGAGAATGCGGCGGAGCTTGGGCGAGCCATCGCGTTCTCGTCTCAAGCTTTAAATCCGTGTTGGTAAACGCAGAGTTATCCTTTCTTCGAAACGACGTGTCGCGCGTCTACGCCTCTATTATATCCGTCTGTCCGCTGTTCCTTCCTACGTGCATACGTAGACAGGCGGCAAATAGATCGCGCATTACTCACGTACCGGGGCGGCGAGTATCGCATCCGATCATGCGATCACTTTCCCATAACAACGGGCCGGGCAAAAGGGAGTTATCTGGTCACCCGACACTCACGAGCTAACGGCGACCGTCGCGAGAAACGTTTCGTTGAACGTTTCGAGACAAAAATGTAAGAAAAATTTACCGGAGGAAGAAACGACGAAACCAGCGAAGTATTCGAGATTAAAAATTATCGATGTACGACGAAAAATTGATTTGGCCCGGTGTGATTTAAATACAGAATCATTGATACGGAGACCCCTTCGATACGCTCATTTGTGAGTGTGGTTTTAAATGCGATATGAAAAGTATACTCGTTTACGCATCGTTGATACTGTAAACTTTCATTAGTGCTTTGTCAGCTACATTGATCTCTGTGCGATAGTGTGTGGGATTGTCGTTGTGTTTGTATCCGCTTTTTAAACAGCGGCGACGAGATATCAGTCCGACGTATTCCTCAGAATGCGAAATTGTACATATATCACTGCTGACGTCAAGGCGGCGTTAAGGCCGTCATTTTAGCGCGCGTCTTTTGCAAAGTCTGAATAACAAGATATCACTGCAGCCTAACGCTGTAAATCATCCGCCGCTTACGTTTTGTTTTTGACCACGATAACCACATAACGTCATGGTCGATAGAGTCGCTGTAGGTATCGCAACGACGCAACAAGCCTACGGGTGTTAAACGCCGAATGATCGATCAACTGATCGGCCCGCATACTCCCTCGTCGTCGAAAAGTTCTTAAACTCGCCACGTCTTGCGGTACGCGTTTAATTTTCTGCTTTAGAACCGCAGCGTAGATTCTACTTTTCTACATGTTACTTGCTTTCGTACAGCGGCTTCGATATTTCCGAGGTGATTCTCCATCGACCAGCACGTTGTCTTTCAGAACTCGTGAAAATTAAACCCGACCGCACCTAAGTCGGGCAAAATTATATACTTTTTGTCATTATTAAAACTGACAATTATTCAGAAGATGCGTGGACAACTATGTCCGTTGCGATGAAAAGAAAATTTTCGCCGCCGTAGCTAATCGTGGTTTGCCGAAAGTATTTCGCTGCCGTAACTATAAATTTTTATGCCGCGGCAAACGGTTTGCACCTGACACAATGGGCACGGCAGCAAAGTGTTTAGCTATCATAAGCAGAAATAGTTGGAAAACACCAAAGTTAATTACGTTAATTTAAAGCGAAGCTCTTCCGTTGATAGGCAGACGCGGCAAAGGTTAATAAGCGCGCAATTACACTCGCTGACCCGCGGGAAGGGTTTCTTGCTCGCCCCGTATCTAGTCTCGAGGTACTCCCGAGGATGTTATTTAGCAAACAGAGCGCTAAAGCTTTGCCCCCCCCTCCTCCCCCTCCCCCCGCCGGCACGTGCGCGGCATATGCGCCTTTTGCGTACGGTGTACGCAGTACGTGTTGAATATTGTCTTTGATGCGCGGCCCGTCGGAAGCCCTTCGTCTCCTCCTCGCGTCTCTCCTTTCTCTCACGTCACCCTCCCCGTCCTCTTACGGATCCGTTCTCTCCTCTTGCTCCTCTAGCGCGTCTTCAAGCGAGTCCCTCGACCAAAAAAACCGCTTTGATTTGATTTTCTAGATTAACCTTTAGGGCGCCGGGCGCGTGGCGAACCCTTTTCCTTCCGTCTCCCTCTCGCGATCCCTCCTCTCCATTCGTTCTCTTCCTTCTCCTTTGCATCGGGATCCAGCAGCACGCGACCAGGTAAGGCGACGGCACTCACGATTTTTCATGCACGATGACGCCGGTTGA